GATGCCGCCTGAAGCAACAGCCTCCTTATAGAGACAGCCCTGCCTGTGGCTGTCACTTTTGTTGAAGAGCTTGGCCTGCAAGCAAATGTTGAATAATATATAAATAGGCAAAAAAAGGACAGAATGAATGTAGTGAATACTATCAGTACAAATATTAAACCCATACCGTGACCAGAATATCATTGTTTTCACTAGAGTGTCCATTTAACTCCCATGACACCTAAATTTAACCCACAAAATGGCGGACATACCAGAGTGGAAGCTGGTGGACTTGTCATGACTCTGTTTCCGAAGGCAGAACGGGCTGTCCTGACTCTCCAAAACGGTCTGCGGCCTCTTGATCAGCAGTTCCATGACTCTTCGCCTCCGCCTGAAGTTCAAACGAAACTGGTAGAGAAAAGCGCTGTCCATAAAGTGGTGTTTGCTGGACACTGCAGATGAAAGATATAACACGATTCAGGTTCAGGGTGACAACATGGCAGGTGGAGTATCACTCAGACGGCTTTATGGGCTCATCTGTGTTTTCCTATGGAATGTATCAGCTTGATGTAACAATGATTTGATCAGTCTGCGCCAATGTTTCAAAATCAATTTCAAATGTTTCCAAACCATTTCAGCATGTGAGCCAACCTTGTATTAAACCACATGAGGCAGAGTCACACCAGTATGAAAATGAATAATCGGCACATGATATTTCTCTACTAATGATATTAAAGAAGGACTACGAGCATTTTAATAACTTTTCCTTGCAGTGGGGCTACCCCAGCACTGCAATGGTTAAGTGCTCATTTTTCTCAGTGCCCACCTCTCCTCCCCTCCTCTCCAGGGTGTCCTCACGTCTAATGCAAGTCAATGGACCTGCAAAAGACGTGATGGTGTCATGGGTCCCTAGACTTCTGTAGTGGGAGAAGAGGCTGCAAGGACCGGTCTAGCAGCCTGGGATCAGGTGGGTATATCTGCTTTATTTGAGTCTCCCTAGACAAAACAAGCCCTCCACCCTTGCAGTGCCGAGGTGGCCACACTGCAAGGATTAGATTTTAATATTCCTGGAGTTCTTCATTAAAGGGTTATTCCACCTATCCAGATGAATTTGGGAAAATGAAATTACCCCCACCATTCTGCCCCCTCTCCCCCTTCCCTGCTGCTTTTACCTGTCAACAATCAATCCTTTCCCTCGGCAACATCCGTACTCTGTAAACAGGATTGCAGCCCTGTCCTATTTCAGATTTTGCTCGCAAATGGCGACCACTCATTGGTCGGCGCAGTCAGCTGACCAATAAGCAGTGCTTGTGACCGCGCTGACCAATGAGAAGCACTTCTTGCTAAGATATTTGAAATTGAAATACATACCACAGGGCTGCAATCTCGTTTCGTTCAAAATGGATATTCATTATATTTCGTCAATTTCGGACACATCTGACGAAAATTCGGATCGTTCCAAAACGAAAACGTAGGGTGGATCCGAAATTCGAACAAAATAAAAATCCGAATCGATCTGCAACTAATTTGTCTGGGGCTACATGTCTACTGCAATTCCCTGTTCATTACCCCAGGAACCGCAGAGGGTTTTTTCCCCAAATTTGCCTGGGAAAGTGGAATTACCCTTTAACAGGACCTAGTATAAAAAGGTACAAACTAGTAAGAATTGAGAATAAAGGCTTATAATGTGTAAGAGACTACAAATAACCAGCTTCAGTATACCAGTCCCCTCCCCTTTTGTCAGTAATTTGGGAACTAGACATGTGCAGGGCAAAAAAAAATTTGTTTCGGAATAAACAAGTGAAAATTAAAAACATTTTTATTCGTTTTGTCAATGTAAACAAATTTTAATGCTGTTTCGGATTCAAAGGCAAAAAACCGCACAAAGAGACTGCAGAACGAGCGGCGGCGTTATGCGCATGTTCTGATAACAAATGTTTATATACCCGAAGATCGTTTTAGTATATTCGGGCATATAAAAAGTTTGTTATTTCGGATTCGGAAGAACCTCCGAATCAACTGAATTTCGTTGATTTTGAGGGTTCGTCCGAACCCAAATGCACATGTCTATTGGGAACCCCTGCTTATAGAAAGGGATTCTCGAACACTCGTTATGGTCTCTGATGTATCAAAGCATCAGAACTGAGTTCTGACAATCAGATTCAAACAAGCCTTGAAAGTCATGAATACATCTCTGGCGATCAGATACAAATTACATTTTATTTTAATTGGTGTCCAGTGTACTCCACACACCATGTGCATATACCCGTGTAGCTGCTGTCTGCTCAGATGGCTTTGTGTGTCACACTGAGGACTATTGGACTATTTCTACATGTGACAATAATGAAATAGTTAAGGAAGTGTCACCAAAAAGGGAAGCAAAACGGATTCTTGTTTAACCGCAAACCACAGAGTGAGGCTTGTGACAAAAATGTCATCAGCTGCTCCACTACACAAACATCTCCACTTGGGCCAAATGAAAGAAGTTTTGCATTCAACCTCGTCCCTGTTATGGGCTGGATTTAAGTACAACTCCAGGTAAAAAAATGTATGAAACCTTTGCAGTGGACTACAATCTCAATACAAGTTAGTAAACTAAACGGAAGATTGTAGACCATCACAGGAGTGAGCTTGGAGCGGTGACTACTTTACAACACACACAGGCAGGGCCGGATTTCCCACAAGGTCAACCAAGGCCCGGCCTTGGGGCAGCAGGGGTGTGGAATTCATATCTCTCGATGCCAGGGACATGCAGTTCCGTGCGCTGGGCGGGTTGTTGTTTTCTACATTTAGCCTTGCTTTGGGCAAGCAGGGCTAAATGTACAGTGGGGAAGCCGCCGCTTGTTTTGTACAAGTGATCTGGGCAATGTCGCCGAGATCACTTATATGCAGCCTGCCGGTCTGCCTTTCTCCATTTGGGGTTGCAGGTGGGGGGGTGCATAGGAACCTTGCCTTGGGGCAGCATAGAGAATAAATCCGGCCCTGCACACAGGGAGCATGGTGAACAAAAGTAGCCCCCCTCCAGAAGGAAGTACAGTGTCAGCACCAATCCAGAGATGATTTGAGGATCTACAGCCGAGTGACAGACTGGGTGCAGATCGGGTGAGCGTACGACAGCCTACGGCCGCGTCCTCCCATAGGGAAGAACAGGCTGCCGCGTACAATCACATGCAGCACCTGTCCTTCCCGGGAACGGCCTGATACGGCCGTGCACGCCTCACGGATCTGTACGGCCGAACACTACGCTGTGTGAATGTGGCCTAAGAGAAAAGATAGGGTATGTCTGTATGTCAGGGGCAATTTGAAGTTGAGTATGAGAGATATTACTAATCAGGAATGTGATGCTGCAGAATCTTCATGGCTGGAGCTACATATGATTGCATAAAATTTAAGTAATTGAGCCAGTATGTTACAGGCCCCCTAACATGAAAGATGAGGAACAGATTCAGCTGCCATCACAGACTGAAATGGCTGGGAAACAGGGCAATGTTCTTGACCGATATTGATTGGGCTAATGGAAATGCACATTCAACAAAGGTTTTTAATTTCTTGAACTTACTGAAGGACAATTTCATGGGTCAGATGGTGGAAGCACTAACTAGAAAAATGATCTATGATATGCAAATTAGGGACAATTTGGGTAATAGTGACCATGATGTAAATTACATTTGCCCTAGGTTACAGGAAAGAGAGGCATGTTGGTATGGCAAGAATGCTGCATTTCAAAAAGGCCAACTTCACTAAGCCGTGCTCTTAACTGCATAACATTCAATGGGATCAAATATTCTCAACAAAGGACACAGAAGAGAAGTAGGAGTGTGTGTGTGAAGGGCATTTTAAAAAACTGGATTTAGCAGTGTATTATAATGGACAACAAATATAAAAACAAATTTACCTCAATTATAGTGTAGGAAAAGGAAAATTAAAGAGCTAGCTTTACAAAAAAAAGAAAATACAATTTGGAAAGGACACCCTTGGCATTTCAGAGCTGCAAGGGATGCAAAATGGCAATTAGGTCAGCGGAATTTGAATATGAAAAACATATTGCTACAGAAAGTAAAACAAATACCATAAACATATTTAAATATATTAATGGTAACCGAAGTAGAGAACATATAAGCCCCATAAAAGATGAAGATAAATGGGGAGTTGGCAAAGGGAGGGAGAACAAAAAAAAGAAAAAAGGGAGATGGACGATGCAGTAGATATATGCTAAAAGCGTAACAAAAAACGCTTTAAAAAGGGTCAATACTTACCTGTGTGTTCCCTGCGCGCTCCCGTCCTAAAATGTGAAAAGTGTCGGGCGGCTGCAAAGCATCTTGGGGCGGGCGCATGCGCAGTTAACATTTTCGGCCGGGACACGAGGAGAGACACAAGGTAAGTCTATGGACGCGTGCACCTGCATGCAGACACCGTAGGACAGGAAGTGCCAGCAAGGACAGAGGAGTCAGCGCTGGATCGGAGACCCGCCGCAGCGCTGGAGTGACAGATGAAAAGGACAGGAAAGAAGAAGAAGATCGGATTAAGAAACATCATTTAAGGTAAGTTCTTTAATTAACATTGGGGGGAGGGAAAAAGATTTTTGACTTTAATGTCACTTTAAGTACATTTTTTTCTTCAGTGTGTACAAACAAAAATCATGGGTTTTATTAGTCAGTACATTAATGTTATTAATAATGTGCTGAATGTATGTCCGAGGCTGACAGAAATCCAGGTTCAAAACAGATTAGACAAATTTAATGTGAACAAATTGCCAGGACCAGATGCCTTACACCCACAGGTCCTCAGAGAGCTTAGCTGTGTTATAGCCTGACCACTGTTTCTAAGAACATCTTATTTACTGGAATGGTACCAACTGATCGACATAAAGCAAATGTAGAATCAATATTTGAATAGAGTTGAGATGTGTGCCAGGAAACTGCATACTAGTCAGCTTAACATAGGTAGTATGTAAAATATTTGAGGGGCTGGTAAGGGACTATTTTCAAGAATTTGTTAGAGATAATAGCAACCAGCATGGATTTATAAAAGAATATACTTGTCAGATCAATCTGTCATTCTATGAGGAAGTTAGTAAAAATTTAGATACAGGAATGCCAGTGTGTTATATATATGTGGATTTTGCCAAGATGATCAACACTGTACCTCAAAAGTTTTAGAGGGGATACAAATCACAATGTATAAGTTTATCAAAGGTTGTTATATGAACTGTAATAGCCAGTTTACTTTTAGGTCCCTGAAGAAGACAAATGATGCACAGATTGCCCCCGATACTTATCCCAATACCGGAAGTTCCCGTATCAGAAAGCCGGGCGGCGAGTCATTACACACTGCCCGGCTTCCTGATTGTCACTTGGTTACAAGGGAGAATGGAGTCGCCTTCCCCAGCAAACAGGGAGCCGTGCGGCATGTAATGACTCACCCCCCTTCTCCCTGACTGGCCAGAAAGCTG